TCCCACTCCTTGAACTCGAAGGTCGTGGTGCCCTCGAACGTCACCGTGGTGCCGTCGTTGAGCTCCGTCAGGTCGAGCGTCTCGCCCGCCGGGACCGTGATCGACTTGAGGATGATGTTGGAGCAAGACGTCTTCTTGCTCTTGACCGACGCGGCGTCGGTGAAGGTGCAGCCAGTGCTGTTCGAAGCGGCCATGATGGCCGGGGCGGCCGCAGCCATGGTTGCGGCGCTAGCGCCGAGCATGAGAGTGGTAAACTTGACCATTCTTGCGGTATTCGATCAACGATTGACGGGTCTAAGGAGTGACGATTGCTGAAAAAGAAGGAAGAGAGTGTATGAGTGCTCCGAAGAAGAAGACGAGCCTTGGGTGAGTCGCTGCCATGGCCGATTTATACCTACCCACGAAACGGAGAGGGTCTTCAGGCATCCTCGCAGAACAATGGGCCCACAACTGACAGCGAGGGACAAGAAATGAGGAGACTGATCCGCACAAGGGCCTGAGGCTTAGCCTGTCGCCGCGTCAAAGCTCGCCTGCCTCTCCGAGATCTAGGGACTTGTTCCAGGTCGTTAGCGAGCTGCTTCTGGCCTGAAGCGGACATGGGACGGTGGAGAATAGAATGGGGAACGTGAGGACGTATGGGGAAAAGATCTGGAGCTTGGATTCGCTATTGCACAGTTCGTGGAGTATAAAAGGAACAAGCCGTGTAGCGATGCAAGACGCTACATTGCAACGGTGTGAGGCGCGCATCTATCCCTACAATGGCGCCAGCAAATGGAAAGAGGCGAGTGGATCAAGTCGCTCTTCATATCGCCGATTCGTGCGTGAGAGTGTTCCAGGAGTCGACGTCTGCAGAGAGGAACGAGCCATGTCGTGAGGCGCGGGGGACAGCGGCCATGTGCTGGAAAATGATGTGGTCGAGGCGGCGGTGATTCTCCGTCGGCCCCACCCGGCGCAGTGGGCTCGCCCATCAACTTGAAACACAAACATACGAGGTTAAATCTGCAGTCGACAATTGTGGGTATGCGAAGCTCTGACGACGGTCGCGCTGCGGGATAAGCAAAGAAACCACGGCGTAGTTTTGGAATAGAAAACCTTGCATTACTTCGCCCTCCGACCTATGAAATCTTTTCTTCTCGAATCATCAGCTCTGTCTGCTTGTAAATCCCCATCTCCTCGTCGGCGTTCTTCTTGCCGCTCGCTGTTGAAGTGCGGTCTGAAACGCTGCTCCCTTGCACTGTCCTGACGTCTGTCGACTGGAGGCGGTTCATGTCGTGTCCTTCGCTGTTGAGAGTAAACCTCTCTTGACTCTTTCCGCGACGCCATCCAGACATGCGTGATGTACTCGTTCCTCCTCGTCGCGAATCTGTGCTGTCCAATGTCGTCACAGTCTGCACGTAAGAGCTGAGCAGTGGTCGGAATGTCGCCAGGTTGGCGGCCAGAATACCCACCGCCGCTTCAACTGCCGACCAGACAGCAATGGGTGTAACCGTGTCTGCGGCGATTCAGTTATTGTCCGAAAAGATGGTGCGCAAATAGACCCACATGTGTAATCCAACGTCCGATTCAGTGTTGGGAGCGACGACATGCGAATCATGGACGCCACGCTCGAGCTGCATCATGTTAGTGGATTGCCGATTGGAGACAAACGGCCACTTACAAGTATCCCAAGCACAAGAGAATGATGATGATGACTTTGGCCTGCTTCTTCAACTTCGATTTTCTCAAAAGAAAGATGGGCAGTGTGCTCAAAATCCAATCCGACAATATGGACATGGTGTTGTGCGCGTAGCTTGCGTCGAGGATGGTACTCTCGGGTAAACAAGTGCCCTTTTTGAGAATGATTTGGTCCCAGAGATGTGATATCGGCGAGCACTGGTTCAGGATGAGGAAAAAGTAGCCGGTGGAGTAAAGGCTGTTGACGACGATGAGAACCCAGACTGTCCATATTTGCCATTTGAGATTCGTGAGACGGAGGTAAAAGGCGCAGACTGAGAGTTTGAGGGCCACGACGCAGAGGATATATGTGAGTTCAGCGGCGAGGTATGCCTTTGATTGTTAGATGGTTCAATACATGATGTCGAAGACATCCTTACCTTGAATCCAAAGATGATCCATTTTGTAGGAACTTTCCAAATGTGTTTGCCAAAACCGCTGTAGGCGAGCAATATCATGCAGATTCCCATTGCCGTAAAGGACGCCTGAAAATAGATGCGTCAGTGAAGCTCAACCGCATAATTCTCGTCTGGCTTACCCAGGTCAGCATCATCCACCAGTCGTCGAATCCCCATGACTTGATCTTGATCGCTCGAACATAGACTCGGAGGCATGTTGTGATCCATACGATCAACAGGGATATGATGAGCACGACATAGATCACCGTGCCTCTGACCGCGGGCTCATGGGTGAAATCTGCCGTTCCTGGCATGCTGACGCGTTGCAAAAAGAGCAGCAAGGAGGGTATGCGAGCCGCTACTCTACTTATTCAATAGAGGGAGAGATAGCACCTGTCTTGGATGTGGGACCCTGACATAGCCACCCATCGACGTGCCTCTAGACCCTTTGTCGATCCGACAGTCCCAATGATGGAGAGGAGCCAAACAGAGGGCCGAGGAAAAGCCAGCACGAGGTCCAGCCTCGTACAGATATCAGGCTGGAATCGGGGAATAGTGCGGAGTAGAGTACCGTCGCCTTTTTCAGACATGTCCGCAGTGATTGGCCAGGTTGGACACTAGTGTGAGCATTAGTACCCCACAGCAGAATCATGTTCCAAAAGTGGAATAGAGTACCAATTGCCGACATCCAGCGAAATATGGGAGATGGATGATTTGAAGATGGATGCCACGGGACTCCATTGCCCATTGCTCGAGTAGGGTTGCCCAGCTCTCATCCTGCAGCTCCTGAAGAACTCGATGTTCCGCTCCTCTCAGTTTTACGGAGCCCTTGATCCGCAGGAAATCTGGGGACGGGCACGCCTCCACTTTGACGCAAGTCGAACCGGCGCCCATTTCGATATCTTTTTTCCGGTCCAACGTTACGCTCTTTCATTTCACCATGTCGTTCAAGAGAGAGTCTTTCTTTCACTTGGTCTCACTACTTCCAATCTCTTACATCTTGGTGTGTTGTGATGTTCTGGCCCTATATGTAGACGGAGATCTACTGCTGCAAACGGCCAAGAAAGTTCACGCCCGGAATCGTGAAAAAACTGGCTGGACCCTTGGCATCCGCTAGTCGCTTCAAAGTGGAGGAAACATTCTTTCAAAGGGCCCTTTCTTATGGCACTAAAGGACATGGGAGGTGTTGGAAATGCTCAAGGTCGGTGTTGCGGCTTTTCGACGACTCTGATCGGGGCAGTTCCTACAGCCGAGTCCAAGTTGTCGGCAGAGTGGTACTGACGAGATGCAAGACGACAACAGGTCATATCAAGCAAGGTGAATTCTGGGACGCTATTTCCAGAGGTGCAATCTTCGGCCGCAATGATCGAACAGATTGATTTTGAAATCCGCTGTCGACGGGGCTGAGAAACAGCTTGCCGCCAAGGCTACTCCAGCTGAGGCCGGCCAATGTGGCTGTTGGGCGATGGACGCCATAGCCGTCATCCATGCCTTGAATCCTTCGAAGGACTATTGAGTCCAAGTCGCTTAAACTGAGCCCAGTGGGAAAAGAATGTCAGAAGGTCGTTCTCGTCTCATCAATCGCGGAGTTGGTCCTGTGCAGGAAAGACTCGGTCAAACGCAGCAGCCGACCCGCATCGGAATCACCGTCTTTCAAGCCTGATCCTTGCTGGTGGAGGAGTGTGTGAAGCTGATGTTGAAGTTGCGAAGTTGCTCGGGTGTGTAGTTGGGGACGGGAGTTGGCATCCGGACAGGGTCCCTGTCAAAGCCGGTCGCTTGGTCGCTAAGCGAGGTCCGAGGCCGTCACTTACTTCCTTGACCCAACCCATCCCGTGCCGTTCCCATCACCACCCACGCGGGTGATCGAAAGCTTCTCGTCCGCATCATTGTTTTCCCGGGCACTCTCAACTTGTTGCTGCGCCTTAAACATTTCGAACCAGGCTTCAGCCTCATTGCTTCTCTACGGGGAACGCGATCTTTCAAACTTTCTTGTGCGGCACGGCAGGAGTCACCGCTTGACAAGTGTTTATTGGCCTGATTTTTATTCTGTTGCGGAATGCTGGTCTCGGCATCTGCAGTTTGAGTGTGCGACCAATTAGCAGTTGCTGAGAGTCATGAGAAGGTGCTGTTGTAATTGTTTCCGACTTTCAACTCAATGACTAGCGCCCAACGCTCTGCCACATCTTGAGAAGTCTGCCATCCGCTATTTCGCTGTTTGCCAATCTCTGACGTTCGGATTAGTGTCAGCTGTTGTGCCGCATGGCCATGAATACTTGCGCAGGACATTGCAAGGACGAAGGGATGCAGTGTGCAAGCAAATCTGCTGCCGTCCGTTTGCAGTCACCGTGGTGGCCTTCGCGGGTGGCAAGGTGAAACATTTCAATTAAGGTACTCTGACTGCGCGGTTTTCTGGAACATTTGCGTCGCTCGACGTCACGGTCAAGCTATAGGAAACGACATGCTGCTCAAACTCGATCGATGGGAAGTTGTTGCCAACTGACTACCTATCGTCCTCGCTCATCGCTTCGTCTGTCGACACCGAGTTATTGCCAGCCACCAGGATTTCATCGACCCATCAAGTCATTCATCAGATCCTTGTTACTGCAACCATGCTGCTGGATCTGCCTGCTGCATGGGCAGGTTGCATGCCAAGAATCTGGGGGTAAGGTGTCGGGAATGGCTTCAACGTGGTTCACCATACGTTGCCCGAAAACTCCTACGGACAGCAACGAAATCTTCTCTCCGACCGTATACTTATAATCCACCATTGGTTCGCAGTATGTTTTCAGCGTTCGCGTGGCTGGGGGTTTGCTGGGTTTCACTGGGCTTGCAAGTCTGTGCACTACATATTGTGCAATTTATGCCCAGTCTTCAACAATATCACTCTTCGGCACTTTGGCGGAGTGGTTAACGCGCTGGCCTGCTATTATCCAATCGGATGTACTCAAGCCAGTTCCTTCGGGAGCGTGTGTTCGAATCACACAGGTGTCGCGTAAATCTGCGAATTCTTTTTGGTCTTTCCCATGCATTCTTCTGCTGCTGCGCGTTGTTTTGATCAAATGTTGCCCTCCGCGGAGTTCGCAGCGAGGGGGCGCAAAATCGGGGGCGCTTCCGAACCGGGCTAGCGTGTACTCTAGTCCCGAGCTCCGACCAATCGCAGCTATAGGGAGCTGCAGGCGAGACCTCGGCTCAGAACCTCGTTTTGAGTGCCCCCTTCTTTTCCTTCCAAGCCACAACTCCTTGAGCGCGTGAACGGCACTGTTGCGCTGTCTGGCTGCCACGACGAAGACAACCTCTCCAGGAACTTTGCTGAGATGTCGACATCTTTGCTGCTCATCCGACGATTCACTCCGCAGTGTGCCCGCTTGCTCACTCTTTTCATGCCCATCCACCTCGTCGCGCCTACGCCCTGGATCACTTCATCGCGTGCATCGACTTGAGAGACAACAACCTTCACTGAAACGTCTCTAGAAGTCATCTGATGGCGAATACCGCCTGTCGGGCCGTACCACTCTACCGCTTGCAAAACAAACGAGCTGCGCGGGAAAATTTGGTTTGAACAAAACCTTACGCTCACCTCTGCCCACGTTGGGCCTGCTTGACGTTGGAATCTTCCGCGCTTCCGCCAAATTTTGCTTAGGCAGAGCCTATCCCTAAGCGCGTACTTTGGGCGGTGTTCAGTAGCGGCGTCCAAGAATACGAGTGAAGCATACCGAAGAATTGGATTCACAGCCACTGCCAGCGCCTTGACCAGGCTAATTACTCGGTAATTCGTTCTTCGACGGCGAATACTGTGTCAGTGTCTTCTTTCCCTATTCCTATGACTGTTGCGAGAGGCCTCTGTCTACCTCTTACTCTCTCCGCGCAAAGAGTAGCACCCCAATGCTGCGTGCATCGCTCGACGACTCGCTTCCATTCGGTAGAATCGAGCTGGAAAAGCAATTCGTCCGAAAAACTGGACGTAGTTTTCCAGCAGGCCTAGATAAGCGAATGCTCAAAATTTTGTCATACGACTCTTCATCGCGACATCCTGTCCAAGTGCCAGTTATTTGCCAAGGCGCAACTTCCCCGTAAGAAGATGCTTGGCCGTGTCAACAGTTGCAGCAAGGAAACCCCGCAAGGATCGAGCTTCTCTTCAACGATAGGCAAAGTTTGCCCGTCGTCCATGCCAACACCATCTGCAGGATTCGGACCGCTCCTGTCAAAGTCGCAGAGCGCCTCACAACAGGAAATTTCGTCGTCGTGTTCCACCCGTTTACCCTTTGTCCCGGACAGCAGTCTGCGCTGCATCATGGCAGATTCGGTCAAGAAAATCAGGCACACGTGGCGATCTGCCTTGTTGCCCCAGGATGTTGCTGCTGTCGCAAAGCCACCACGCAAAAAGATGCGTATTTTCAAACTTCAATAATCCATTCGAGGCGCTGTAATCATGAGCGCCCGTGAGAGCGGCTCAGAGATCGACAAGACGCAGATCAGGAAGCCAAATGCGCGTCAACAGTATGCCATGCTACAAAACTTGCGGCCGAATCCATCGTGATTTGGCAGTCGGCAGTTGACAAACGTGGTAATCCGTCCAGATTTCAGATTCTCGACTCTGGGATCGATGGCGGGGAGCCCTAGCAGAAGGGCCTCGAGCTTTAATTTCCCCTGGCACCTGTTGTCGATTCAGGTCGGGATTGCTAGTTCATGCCTGCTAGCGCTCGACTATTTCCCCTTCCAGCTCTACACACTGCCTTTGATCGCGAGACACAGTTATCAGCAAAACCAGTCGGCAGCAGACCCTTTTCCACGTCGTCAACCGTTGTCAGCCCTGTGCAGCCCAAGGCATTCAGGGAAAGCCATGACGTACGTGTATGCAGGTACGCGGGGAGGGTTCAGAGGTGTCGAGTCACCTTGTTTGAAATAGAGTTTACGGCTAATCACTTCCTTGACAGCAGCGTTTCCGAGTAAACCCAAACCGCCGCCACAACTTATCAGTCCCCAAAAATACCAAGACGCTCCACAACGGCAAATATCGGACATGGAATGGCGAGCTTTGCGAACAGCGTTAAGGTTGCGCTTGATTCTGAGTTTCATTGAGCTGCCCAGGCTTGGAAGGGAGATTGCCCCTATCCATGTCACCGCTCTTTATAGAGTAACTTGTGCCGTCTTCACTTCCTCAATAGCCATCCCTTGTTCCACATACGCCAAAAAATCGTCTCCAGCGACATCACAGAGGTTCTGCAAAAACAAGACCGCTTTCGACATGCGTCTCTTCACGCTCTTGGCTGCCGGAGCATCCCTCCTCGGCTTCGCTGCTGCAATGCCTGAGGCATATCCCGATGCTGCCGACTTGAACGTCGTCGGACGTCTTGGAAAGCGAGCTCTGATCAACAACTTGGAGACTCGACAACGTTAGGTCTCCACGACATCCTTCGACTTGACCATCGCTATTGACACATCATCTCCACCAGTTTGCAACGGCACCACTATCCTCGATACCACCACGCAAACCTATGTGATCCCACAGGGTGACACTCTCACGAAGATTGCGGAGAAGTTCAACCGTGGCATTTGCGACATTGCCAAGGTTAACAACCTCACCCACCCGGATTTCATTTTGGCTGGCGCTTCCCTTACGATTCCCCCTCAGGTCTGCTTCCCTGACAGCACTTCTTGCATTTCCACGGTTGTTCCCACCGCGACTTGCATCAACGGAGGCCCTGGCTTCTACATTATCCAATCAGGCGACACTCTCGGACAACTCGCGCGAGCTTTCAACATCACATTGGATGCTCTCACAGGAGCCAACAAGGCGAACATTCCAAAACCCGATATTGTCAACATTGGTCAAGTGGTCAACATACCAATCTGCGACAATAGTTCGGCCGATTTGACACCGTACAAGATCAAAGCGGGAGATACCTTTTACATCCTTGGCCGGAGGTACCGCAGCTCGGAAGGTGCAATCCGCGCTGTCAACCCTGGAGTCAATCCGAACACGCTACAGGTCGGTCAGGTCATCACGCTGGTTTCGTTTGCGCGCAAGTTCCCCGGAACCGAGCCGACGAATGAGCTGTAAGAGTGTTGCTGCGCGTGTAATCTTCATTTCATCTCAAAATTGCTGCGACTTGATGAGAGGCGAGACGGTGTCCATCACGAGGTCATGTCCAGCTGCCGTTGAAGGATAAATGGGGTTTTCTTTGTCGAAATCACTGTAATTACTAGTGATGCAATATATGTCTGTCAATGTCCTTATCACCTACAGACTTGGTTAGACCGCATCTTCCCATGGTGCCACGGCGGATTGCCGAGAGACCGCCTCTTCGTCCGGCTTGTATTGGTTCAACGTCAACTTGGCTCAAGTAGTCATGATAGCTCCTCAGGGGTCATCAACGTCTCTGAAGCCTCGCACCTGCCTTATTGAGCGTAGCCCTTGTTGTCGTCAACGCCGGCCACAGACGCGCCAGTTCATCATTTACCCGACAGCCTTAAACTGAAGAAGCTTGCGTAACCGAGAAGCGTCATCTCATGATTGGTATAACGCCCAGCCCAAACACGACGGAAATCGACGGATCAGATGAGCTCGCCAGCCTTCCCTTTTCACACTGCGTGCTCCCATTCGCAGACGTTTATTCTGCCGCCTGCCGCGACCAGCGTCGGGCGCAGCGGGTGGACGGACGGGCGAGCGCGGGATCAACCGCCAGCCGTTCCAAGGTATCTGCCCGCCGACCGACCCGACCGGCACTTGCCTACCAACCTACCTCTGGCTACCCACCCAACCGCCCGTCCGTGTGCCTGTCTGTCTTCCGAGACAAACGCAGACCAGCTTCGGCACCATGCAACCGCTGGGGCGGTGCGTCAGGGATGCGTTTCCCTGTGTGGCCGGTAGGGCCAAGACGCGTCGTTGAGGATGACGGGCAGGTTCTGTGAGGCCCGCGTGCTCATGCGCGGAGGGAGCGGATTGGTGGGCGATTCTGACAGCGGTGAGGATGGCATGCGCGTATGTATGCGCAGTCGGTTGCGTGCTGTCGGTTGTCAGTGATGCGCATGTATGGCTTTGAGCTGTTGACATTCATGGCGTGTTTGAAGCCTCCTCACGCTTCCCGGACGTTGATATTGAATACAAAGGTAGGCACCTGTGTCCTCTCGAACCTGGATTCCGCGTATAGCAATGTACACACCGGGAGCGCTCGGATTCCTGCCCTGTCGAGCTCTTCGCATGTCGTTGCTGGCCGACGCTGCATCATTCAAGACGCCACCGCTTCTTATTGACGGCGTTGACTACTGCAAGCGCACAGTAGCAGCCACTGACAAGCTGCACCGAAACGACAAGAGGACAAAACTACGCTGTCACCTCTGATGATTCCAAATCTTCCTCCGCGGACGAATAGTGGACGAATTTTCTCTTTGCAGCCAGGCTAGGGAGTTCGAAGCACCCGAGAGGTGCGTGGCCTCTCATGCACAGCTTGACAGCAAAAGCATCAGAAATTCTTGCGTCACTTGTGCTGCGAGCATGTAGTCTCCTGCATTTCTGCAAAGTGGTCGCGTCCTGCAAGCGTGTTTGAGCTTCCAGTGCTGGAAAAGCTTGGGCGAGGAAGCACAGCATTTGGTGACAGCGATCTTGAACGAGAAATTCTAGCCGCGAGTCCTATTGTTCCAACTCCTGATTCTCACAATCTCAGAGAAAGAAGTTTTGTTGAACGACGGCAGCAGCTGCATGTCTTTCTGACGCACCTGATTGGCCACCAGTCGCTTGACTACCTGCCTATTTCGGCAAGCCGACTTCCCAATATGGCAGGTGTACAATATGCTCTTAACACTGCCGTTGTTCGCCTATCGTCATTCGAAGGCATTGGATATCCAGGCTCAGGCTCGTCCGTAAACCACGCAAGCAACCCGGTCTCTTTCAACGCTTTCGCGGCATGAGTGACAAGGAGCGCTTCGACATCCAACGAGCCTTCTTTATGAAACCCATCCGTGAAGAAGACGGTCTGCTCTGGGGACTGTTC